GGGCAGGAATTCTGTGGATGGTGTGTGTGGGGAGCACACAGCCTTTGTGTTGCAGCTCTGCTGGGTGCTGTGGGGGACAGAGGGCTCTGACTCTTCCCCATGCTCAGGAATGGCTGTTGTGGATCCTGTTCTCTGTGTGCACAGCACAGGATGGGAGGTTGTTTTGTGTTTGTGCCTCACATGATTTGCTTCTCCCCGTGAAAAATTCCGGGTGGATTCGTCCCCCAGTGTGGGATTTGCAGGTGTTTCCCCAGCTGCACTGCTCACTGTCCCATGATCCTTGGGAAGGAAATGCTTTGGGGGGGTTGGATTTACTCCTCAGGAAGGGAAGTGTCTGTGAGGAGTTATGGATGCAGTGCAGAGGGGGTGGGAGTGCAGGGGCTGTGGGATCTCGTCCCAGCACATGGGATCGGGATGTGTCCCCACAGGATTTACCTCTCCCAGCCCTGCCCCTTTTCCTGACCTTTTCCAGCTGAGAAGCAGCACTCAGGGTGGCATTCCAGAGGTGCCTGGGGCCTTGGGAAAGGACCTGCAGTGAGGCAGGATGAGCTAATTAGGGCCTGTTGTTCAGGGAGTGATGGAAGTGGCCCAGGTTGCCAAGGAAAGCCGTGGCTGCCCCATCCCTGGAAGTGTCCAAGGCCAGGCTGGAGCAACCTGGGATGGTGGGAGGTGTCCCTGCCCGTGGCAGGGGTGGAATGGGATGAGCTTTGAGGTCCCTTCCCACCCAGACCATCCTGGGATTCGATGATTCCATGAAACAGGCTCAGGGTTTGGTACAAACCTCTTCCCCTCCCCGTGCTCAGCAGCTCCTCTTGGAATCCTGGAGGAGTTTTGGGCTGGAAGGGACCTTGAAGCTCATGTTGGTTCCCCCCTCCTGGCATTTTGACCAGGTGTCACATCTTCCACTGCCACAGTGGGCAGGACAAGTTATAAAATGCAGACAAAAAGAGCAAATGCAGGGAAGGAGGCAGCAGGGCGGGACAAACACAACGCTCTGAGTGAAAGGAGAATTAAAGGGACTTTTCCTGTCCCTGATCCTGCCTGTGCCCCACACTGTGACTCAGGAGCACTGGTTGGGTTCAGCCCTCCCTTCTCCAGTGCCCAGTAATTACAACATTCCCAGAGGGAAGAGGGAAGGGGCATTTCTGAGGGAGAGCCTTTAACCCTGGAACTCTGCTCTGCCACTGGGGTGGTCCCTGTCCCCCGGGGCTCATCTTCAAGGGGCAGTTTGGAAAAGCTTTCTTGGGCTTGTTTGTGGATTTTTGGCAGGTCTCCCTTTTTATCTCTCTTCTTTTTTTTAGAAACCTTTTGACCTCAGTAACAGGAGGTCAGTTCACTCTTGCCCACGTTTTGGTTTGGCTGAATGTTTTTCTAAGCTGTGGTGGAAGTGGCTAAATAGGAACTATTTAATAAATGGGAAAACAGGATCCAAGGTGTCTCTTCATTGTCTGGATCATTCTGCTGTCACTGCCTCATTTGTGCCTTTAAACTCTGAAATCACTTCTGCTTTCCCCAGGAGGCAGGTCCTGCAGGTTCCTGCACGTTTTTATTCCCTCCCCTGGTTCTAAGTGTGTTGTTATTATCATTATCCTCGTTGTTAATGTTATTGTTTGAGACAGTGATGATCTCCAGCGAGCAGTCCCACTGCACATCCTGTTACTTCCTATTCTGAAATTCCAGGGGATCCTTGATCTGCTGTAATTTATTCTGCTCTGGGGGTTGGTTGGGTTTGGATTTCAGCTTTTGCAAACAGACACTTTGGTTTGCAGTTTAACCAAATCCCTCCTTCCTTCCTTGGCTCAGCCACGGGGCCTTCTGGGCTCTGTCCTGGCTGCTGCTTGAAGAGTCTGTTCTGAAACAAAAGGGGTTTATTTTCTTTCCTTTAGTGTTTGAATCTCTGTTACTTTGCTAATTAAAAAACCTTCCCCTGATGGGCAGTGCCTCTGTTGAAGGTTTTTTAGGAAGTAGCCACTTGCTTCTCCCCAGGAGAGGGAATAAATTACACGGTGGTACTTTCACTTTGAAGTTATTTGTGGATGTTCTGTGACCATTAACTTTTAGCTGTAGGTGCAAAGGGGGGAAATCTCCTCTTGGCAGTGCACTTACCATGTCTGATCCCATTATCACCTGCCTCCCACTGCACACACAGCAGCAGGGGCCGGCTCGGGCAGAAGTTGTGCTCAACTTTTGCCGGAGCAGAAGGAGGATCCAGCAGTTTGTGCCGTGCCTGGATGGTTTGTAAGGACCCAGCTGAGCTCCCCCCTGTCCCCCCTGTGCCCCCAGGCCCTGAAGCAGCAGCAGCAGAAGCAGCAGCAGCAGCAATGCCGGGCGGGAATGCCCGTGTCCTCTAACCAGCACGTCCTGCTCAAGGCCGTCAAGGCAGGCGGGGATCCCACTCCAGGTACCTCGGGGACCTGCAGGGACACTGGGGGTGGGGGAGCCCCTCTGGGGATGGGAGAGCCCCTCTGGGGGTGGGGGAGCCCCTCTGGGGATGGGAGAGCCCCTCTGGGGG